TCTTATACATGGGGAAATACGGTAACTGGCAGGGGAAATGGATTTTGGGGATACTGGTAATGCTCTATTTCCTGATCTGAATCCAGGTACCAAGGGTGTGTTCAGTTTGTAAAAATTTCATTAAACTGTACACTTAACAGTAACATGCTCTTTTCTTCACTACATAGTATACTTCACTATAAAGTTTTTTAAAATAATTTTAGGAGCAGGTTAGTTTCCTGTCTGCACATAAAACCTGCTGATAACTTCCTCATTCAACCCTTCACAGGGCAATGAAGCAGCTAGACCTTGGGGGTGCAGAAAGCCTCTCAAACTTTTTTGGACAAATATTTTCCAAGTCTGAGTTTACATAAATAAATGTAAGCAGTATATTTACAGAGGTGGCTATGGGAGTGAGGGATGGTATAATGTGTTTAATATACAAATATCACTTCAATCATCCCATATGAACATCAATATAGGAAAAAGGCCCTGTGCTTGCTGTACAAGCAGCTTCAAGACAGGGGTCCCAGCCACCAACCCCTATCCTTGCAACCAGGTTGCTGTTTCCTAAAAGCTGCCACCTATAAGAGTGCTGCCTGAATGAGGGGTTTGCCTGTTGACTCCTGGTTTGACTCTTGTGGTTTAAGCGTGAAAGATGGAAGCACTTCCTGATATTTCATTAATCTTTAGTTCTGAGGTCGTTCAGACGTTGGGGCGTGGCAGGAGAAACCAGTCAGGGCCGCACCCGGTGGTGGCAGCTCAGAACTGTCTCCGCCCCTCTGCAGAGCCATTCTCCACCGACCGCAGGACTCCGGTTTTACACACTAGCAAGTTTCTCCCTACCCTGGCTTTTCTCCTTTTACAAATTCCATTCAGAATAAACATTTATTTATTCACTCAAGAGACAAAGGAAGAGGTGGAATGTAACTGAACTAATTTGTTGATTTTTTTCAATAACGTGCCAGCGTTGTGCTGCGCGTTACAGGGAATGGGGAAAAGTTCATTTGTGTAAATTATCAGATTGCGTCATTTCCCTACTTAAAACCGTCCAATTTCATTCCATAATAAAATAAAAGAAAGACAACACCTGGAAAAAGAAATCTTGTTTAAAATTACAATTATTCTGATTTGTCTTTCGTTATGAAATTTAAAGTTACACAAAAATGCAAAAGTGATGGAATTATTGTCTCTTTTTCAATGTTATTTACCCAATGAACAAATACTGAGAGACTAAGCGCGCTTATCCAACTCCAGTTATCAGCAAACTCCCCCAAGTCCCAAGCCAGACGACTTTTCCTTCTCGCAACGCGTCTCTACAAACATCGCGACAACAGAGAGGTTCCCTTTGGCCCCTCCTTCCCAGTCAGCTCAACCCCACCCACTTCTTGCCTGGCGGTCTCCTGACGTCAGAAGCGCGCCGGAGCTAGTGAAAGGCCATAGCGGGGGCGGAAGTGCTCTCGGCTCGAGTGTTCTCGGCGGAGGTGCTCGCAGCGCTAGTCGTGGGTGGGATGGCTGCAGGCAGGCTCATACTAAGGCTGCTACGAGCACCCTCCAGTTCCATGGCTCAGTGCCCGCTCGAGGGCGTACCCCCTTCCAGGGGCCTGCACTCGGGGCGCGGGCCCCGAAGGCTCTCCGTCGAAGGCAACATTGGTAAGGGCCGGAAAGTGGCTGCCAAACCTTGGCCTCCGCTGAGCTGGTGCCTGAGAAGCTGGGAAAGGGAGCTGGGCCCGGAACCTCCCCCCTTCCTTTTTCCTCCTCCCTCGGTCTGATGCGGCGGGGCTGCTTGCTCTGAGCTACCAGGGCCATTCCCCTCCCAAAGTGCACTATGGGCCATTGCCTCTTTGATTTTTAGGAGCTCAGCCCTCAGTACTCTCCCACAGGGACACATCTGTTGGGGCATAAAAGCTACGCAGTCCGTAGGTGGGATAGATCGAAATGGAAACGACAAGGAGCTGGGTGTAATTTCTTTTTTCTTCTAAGAGAGGGTTGTCACATTTAGGGGGGACAAAAAGGTGCCCATTTTAAATAGGATTTCAGATAATGAGTAATTTTTTAGTGCAAATGTGTGCTACACAATATTTGGTGTATACACTAAAAAAAAATCATTATCTAAAATGCAGATTTAACTGAGGGTCCTGTATTTTATCTGGTAACCCTACCCTAAGAGTTTCTAAATTTCATTCATTCAGATACCACTCACTGTTTTTGCCATGTCTCTTTGCTAGTTCCACTATAATTTCTTAACGTTTTTCTTAGAAGAAACTCACTTGTTAAACCTAAAAACAAGTGTTAAGTTAAAAATAACTGTTACAAGAGCAAATAGAAACCTAGTATCTTAGCAGTAATTTAAAAGCAGAATGAAAGCAAAACTTTTCAATTTAATGTTACTAAATTCTGACTTGATACTTTTACCTTCTAAGGTGCCGAGCCATAAAGGGGGATTAGCAAGCGTTGCATGCCAGCAGTCAACAGAATTTCTTATTTTAGTCATTCAACAAATAGCTCTTTGACCCACTTCCCCATGCCAGCACTGTTCTTGACCCTGAGGATACAGCAGTGAACAGTGAAAAGCTCTCATGGAATTCAAGTAGAGAGAGAGAGAGAGACAATAAACAACATAAACTAAGCACAGTAAACCATTTGTTAGGTAGTATTAATGTGATGGAGAAATCTTAGAGATGAGAGATTGAGGGAAGTCGCAATTTTAAATAGGGTAGTCAAGACAGGCTCACTGTGAAGGTGACATTTGAGCAAAAACCTGAAGGTGAGGAAGTGAACCATGTGAATAACGGAGAAGAATCTTCCAGGCAGAGAGAAAACCAAGTGCAAAGACCCTGGGGTGGAAAGTGCGTTCAGGGAACAGGAGGGAAGCCGTGTGGCTGGAGTGGAATGAGCAAGGGAGAGAGAAGGTCAGAGGTGGCCAGATTGTATATAGGCCTTGTAGTCCATGATTGAGATGGGAAGCCATAGGAAGGTTTGAGCAGTCAAGTGACATGATTTGACTTCGATTATAAAAAGACCACTCTGGCTGATATGTTGAAGGTAGAACGTGTCAGGAAGTCATTGCAATGATGAGTTTCATTGAGTTGGACCAGGATGGTAATAGTGGAGGTGGGGAGAAGTGATTGGATTCTAGTTATATTTTAAGGTGGAGCTAACTACAATAGATTTGTTAACAGATATGGAGTGTGAGATACAGAGAGGGGTCAGTGACTGAGTAACTTGAAAGACGGAGTTCCAGTTTCTTTCCATGGAGGAGAATGGGAAGAACAGACTTGGGGCAGGGAATGGTTTCAATATTGTTTTTAGGCATGTTAGGTTTTTATGTGGCTTTAGGTATCTGAGCGGGGATGTTGAATAGGCAGTTGGATATATGAGTCTGGTGTTCAGAATCTCCCTGGACTGGAGTTATAAATGCAGATGGTATTTAAAGCCAGGAGACTGTGTGTTGATGGAAAGGACTAAGCCCTGAGGCACACCAATGTTAAAGAGATTAGGAAGATGGGAAGGAACCAGCAAAAGACTGAAGGAATAACCACTGAAAAACTGAAAGAGAATGATCACCTGAAATCCAAGTGAAGAATGTGTCCAGGGAGAGGGGATGATCAACTTTGTAATGCTGTTTAAGTATTGGAGCACTTTGGTGAACTTGGACAACTTTTAGGAGCAGTAGGGGTGAAAGTCTGTATTGGTGTAGGTTCAAGGAGAATGGAAGGTGAGAAATTGGAGACAGTGGGTTAAGCAACTGCTTAGAAATTTTCCTAGAAAGGGGAGACATGGGTGAAATGAGAAGAGGATTTGAGAGGGGTTTAATTTTTTTTTTCTTTTTGTAAGAGAAATTAGATTATACTTGTAAGCTGGTGGAAGTGGTCTGGTAAAGAGGAAGAAATTGGTGAAACAGGAGGGAAGATAGAGTTGCTGGAGTGATGTTAGTAAGCAAGAAGGAATGGAACCTGTAACCCAAGTAGAGCATGGTTGCCCTTAGCTGGGAGCAGTGTATTTCTAATAACGGGGAGAATGGCAAGTAAATGAGTACTGACTCGACTAGGTGTAGTGGGGACTTAAGGAAGGTCTTTTGGTTGTATCTGTTTTCTCAGTGAAATAGGAAGAAAGATCAGCAAAGAGTGAGTGTGAGAACAGAAGAAAGACGTGAAGTATGTAGTGAGTGAAGGGGAGAAATGTAGAATTGCTGGGCGGCATTAAGGACACCCTTGGACTTAACCATGAATTACAAGTGAGACCAGCCACCACGCCTGGGTGTGTTTTTCCAGCCAGATCAGACGCATTGAAAGGAATGACAAGGGAGGTGCTGATGGTGTTATTCAAAGATATCCTGTCCTGTACTTTGGGACACATGCCCCTAAAGAAAGCTCTGGTCCTCAGAGCCCAGAGGCCTACAAAGTACTTCACAAAGTAAGTACTTTGGACAGGCCATCATGTGAGGTGTGAGCTCCCTCTCCCAATTTTCCTGACCTTTGCTTCTTACCTTTGCAGATTTCTGTGCTGCTTCCTTGCTTTCTCATGCAACCGAGGCTCGCTAAATACCTGCTACAAGGTGGGCTCGTGTGATACAGCTCCTGTTCTCTAAGGAGCTCAAAGACAAGTGGGAGAAGCAGACTGCTAAATGTAATTTATATACCATGTGATGAGGGCCGTGTTTGGGCATGGAAACTCAGTCTCTGGGGTAGGAAATCCCAAAAGGGAGAAAAGGAAAGAGTGTTCCAGGCACAGGAAGTAACATTTGCCAAGGCAAAGCCTGAAGAAACATGCAGTTGTAATGACAGGGAAGTAACTGGATGTGCCTGGATTTAAAGGGCCTCTGGGAGAATGGCAGAATAAGAAGTTGGAAGGGTAGGATTTGCCAGATGCTGAAGAGCCTTGTGGGCTATGCTAAGAGTTGCTTCTGTAGGCAGTGGAAGGCTCCTGAAGGCATGAAGCCAGTGTGTGCCATGACCAGATTAATTTTCAAAAGGAAACTGGCTAGAATGAGCAAATAGAAAGGTCCATAAAGCAAGCACTTTCTTTGCTGGTCTTGTTGGCTGTAGTACCCATAGTGCCTTGCATCCAGTCTGTTGAATGAATAAATAGGAACAGTTTGGAGTAGACAGACTAGTTTTGTGGCTATCGTAGTAGTTGGGGGGAGGGAAGATGCAGGAATGAAGGAACAGAGAAGAAGTGATGTTTTGGAAGTAGGATTGATAGGACTTGGTGGCCACTTGGGTGAGGGATAAGGAGGCATACTCGTAGAAGATGACAATGAGGTTTCTAATTTGCATACTGACTCTGAGAACTGAAGATGGAAATAAAGGAAGAGTAAGTCTGGGGAGGTAAGAGATGTATTTTATATGAGGTGCCTCTGAAAGATATAGAGAGACGAGAGTATGTGCCTGAAGTCGAGAGAGATGAGAGCTGAGATTTCAGATGTGGAAGTTGTTGACTTGGGGTAGTTGTTGAAGCCTGGGAAGTAAACGCAGTTGCCCAAGGAAAGTGTGACTAATGAGAAGTCGACGGGTGCTTTAATCTGGCTCTCTCTAGTTTTATTTCCCATTATTCCATCACCCCACACACCCTGATGACTCTCCCAAGACAAAATTAGTCACTGCCTCCTCTGTGTGCTCTCCTAACATTTTGTACTCATAACTGCTGCAAGCACTTGGGCTTTGTTGAGATTCTTTGCACAGTCACCCTCTTCCCTGGGTTGTTCTTGTCTTGTTCATCTTTGTGTCACCAGCACCTAACCCCCTGCCTGACCCATTGTTCTCATTCACTGTTTCCCAGTGCTTGAATCCTGTGCTGTGATATCCATGTGGAAGTTAGTCATGGGTCCCACAAAGGAAATATTTTAAACTGCTATTATAATCAGATCAGGAGTTACCTTGTTCTCTAATCACAGGCGGCATCTCCAAACAAATCAGAATGAGAACACCTTGAGGAAACCTGAACAGGGGAAGGTGAACCCCTGTCCTAACAGAAGTTAGATACCTTGAGAGTGGCTTTTCTTGTAGCCAGACTGCTCTGAGTCTTGTTAATCTGATGCTGCAGGTGTAGACGCAGCATGTGTAAGGGAAATGGATCAGTGAAGTAACAGCTAATGGCATCTACCATGAGTTGTGAAGCCATACACCGTGTGTGACTGAAAGAGAATAGCTTGGTACCTAGAATCCCTTAAAAGCTAAAAAATAAAATAGCCTATATTTTTTAATGTATTCATCACTAAAGGGTAGCATCGCCTTCCAAAAACAATTATTTTATGATTACAAACCTAAATCGAAGAAAGGAGGGCCATTTGAAATGTTGGTGAGTCATCTCAGACCATTCTCACTTTGATTTTAAACACCCCACCGGTGAAGAGGAAACTTGTACACTTTGCAGTCTAGAGACTTGTACATAAAGCAGTGGAGGGCTTTTCTAATAACATTTTTCCTCCAGCATTCAAGATTAGTGATTTAGGAGCACTAATATGCATCTTTTATTGAGGATAAACAATTGGGCAAAGAATCCTAGGGGGAAAGACCTATTTATTACCAATATTGTAAACTGGAGTCTCTTTCTGTGACTCACCTCAGTCCGTCTGTCCATCCATCCATCCATCTGTCCATCTCCATTCTTAGTACCTGGCTAGATACTCAGGATGCAAAGGGTATAAGATCAGTCTGTGTCTTCAAAAAATGAGCTCCCAGCCTAGCTGGAGAGCATGATGAGTCAACAAATAATTACAGTGCAATACCTCGGTAAACCAGAGTGGGCAGTAATTAACTCTGCCTAGGGATGAAGGAGCTGGAGAGAGTTCAAGGGCAAGGCTGTGGTGAAAGGATGGATGGGCTGGTGGGCAGAGTGGGGGAGGAGAGCATTCCCAATCAGTGAGGGTCTCCTGCGGAACGGATGAGTTTGGATCATGCACTGGAAGCTGTGAGGGACCTTTTTCTTTCTTTTTTTGTAAACATAGTTTCTCATTTAAAAAAAAAATAAAAGGAATCAGGACAAAAATGTGTTAAGTTTCTTTTAAGCCCGTTGAGTGATTTTTGCAAGTTTTCCCAAAGCCTGTCTAATCCCGGGTACTTAGATTCAGTGTTGGATATAAGTTCCTCAAGGGCAGGGTCTTGGCCTCGTTGGCATTAGTACCTACCACTTAGCAGCTACTCCATAAACTATTGATTAAGTGACTGAGTGAATGAATGCAGCAGCAAATGACATTCCTGAAATAAAGGCTTTAATTTTCTTTAAAGAATTTTCTGTTTAAAGATAGATAGTTTTATATTTACTGCCTTTGCTTATTGGTAAAAGTTTTCAGAAATTGATTTTTTTTCCCCATGTTTTTCATCTTGTTTAGGAGAAGAAAATGTTTGGAGGTGATGGTATATTTAAGAGGCTCCCATGAAATACAACTGTTTTAAAGTAATATATTACTTTAGGTGTTCCATCAGATACTATCTTACTACTAGATTTTAGTGTAATGTGGTTATAGTAGGCATCATGGTTTATAGAGAAATTTGCAGGAGGAAAAAAAACATGACTTAGGAAAAGATGAACATTAACAGCAGAACTCTTTGATCCAGCTCATGGAATGACAATCCTGGTGCTAATAAAAATCAACATGTTGAAGTAATATACTCCAGGAAAGTAGCTCCCACCCCTTTTCAAGTCACGGCACATGTAGTGAAGTACAAGCATAGCCAAGGCCCCAAGGGAATGTTTTATGCTGAGATCTGATACCCCAAAAAGTTTTATGATATTAAAAAGTATATCGAAAGATAATGATGTAAGAAGCTGGTGCTCTGCATGGAGACCCAAGGGAGGAATTTGTCAGTTTGCCCGGTGTTACTTGAAGAATGGCTTTCGGTGGACTCGAATTCTCTGGCCATTGGGAGGAGGCCAGTGTAGCAGTGGAGAACCAGCCACACCACTACAAACCACTGGGAAGCTCCTGGGAACACTTGAAAACATTTGTCTTTAAAAACCCAAAAAAATCAAAACCCAAACAGGAAGAAAATAACTATTATGATCAGGTATCACATCACTAAAAAAAGTTATGCTGTGTCTAGTTTTAATGTAAACATATAACTGAATTGTTTTTTAAAATAATTATTCCATATCTGTGACTGCTGTCTGGCAGAGCCAAGTTCCATTAGAATGCCGTTGAAGCAATACTGCCCTGTGATAAATGACCCAGGCTGTCCAAGCCCTACAGCAGCACGGATGGCACAGCTCTTGGGGCCTTCCACCACCACTTACTGTCATTTCATCGCTGAAGCCAGCTTCTGATTACTAAACTTAAGAATGGGGAGTGGGGTGTTGCCCTGGGGCTGTTCCAGTAATTGGAACTATATATTTCCCATTACATCTAATTTGTTGGCATCCTGGGTTTTGTGTGTTTAAATGGCATGAGTCAGTTTCTGAGAGTCCTGACTGCCCTTAGATGCACTAATAGTGTCTGATCTCAGAGGTATAGTTGGTACTCCCTAACCCTCAGGGTCCTTCCTTTCCATATGCAGTAGTTCCTTAGGTATTATTTTAACTTTAAAAAAATTCAAGTAATTCTAACAATCATTCAATCGCACCCGGCTAACAACTAAGTTACCTTCATCTTTTCTTATGAATTAAAATAGCTTTTCAGCTTATAGGCTGGGACCATGTTTTAGACTTAGTCAACAACCTGCAATCTAAATATTGACCAACTGTGCCAGACATTTTAAACTGTGGGCTACTCAGAGCAGGCAGGTATCTGATGATACACAAACTCAACCAATTTGTAATTCCTGTCTTGACAAGCACAAGGCGTTTTATTTAGTAGTCTAGTATGTGGTTTTGGAATCTATATTTTTTAAAAACCACCTCTGATTTTGGTCAGATTGTTCTGGATGGTATGCACAAAAATAAGTATGCACCAGGATCACTTGGTGCATACTTCAGAATGTGAATTCCTGGGGCCCAACCCCAGAGATTCAGATCCTGTTAAGAAACCAAAACCAAGATGCATGAAACAATCAAAACAGTTAAATGCTAAACATACCACAGGCAGTTAATATTTCTTGTTTGATTCAGCTGCTCAGTATGGTAGGAATTAGAGAAGTCCTGAATTTCACAGAAGAGGTGGGACCTTGGGCTTGGTGGGCGAGAGGATTTAGACACAGGCCTAGAGAGCAGCGGAAGGCATTTATTCACTGGCATGTGGGAAGAGCAGAGGCTGAGCAGATGTGCAGATGCACTCATAAGCTGGGTGGAGGTGGGACTGAGAGGAGTGTGACTGTACAAAATGCATAGATTCGTGTTGTTTGTTCTTACCCTGTGTGTTCAGAGAGGAGGAGTTGGAGTGGTGTGTAATAAATGTCACATTGGATGTGTGGGCTCTTGTGCTGAGGCATCTCTACACTCCCAATCAATAACTGTGAGTGGCTGATGGAATTACTGGAAGGGTGCCTCCCTTCCTTCTCTTGGTTCCACTTGGGTTCCTCCTAAGGGTAGAACTCACTTGAGAAAGATCTTCTCCGATAGAGATTAAGTTCCAAATGCACTCTTAAGGTTCATTGTTTGGTTTTTAACAAATGTGGGTTTCAGAGGGAACTGAAATTAATGTATTAAGTGTTTCATTCACTCAGGTTATGAGGAGCCCCATCTTCTACCTGAAGAAACACAGTTGCAATGACAGTGATGGAGTCTTACCCAGATGCCAGCCCAAGCACAAAGAAGGATTAGCTAATTCAGTTTAGAGGTGTTGGGTCCTGGGAAGGCTTCACATAGGAGATACTTCTGAGCAAAATCTTGAAGATTGAGTTGGAGTTGGCCAGGTGAGGGGAGGAAGTGTACCAGGAAATAGGAAGTATATGCACAGTCACATTTGCAGCAGAGAATGTGGCATGACTGAAGTTGCAAGGAGTTTGGTCCAGTGGTAGCTGGGGATGCCTGAAGGGAAGCTGAGGCCAGAGAGGTGTATGAAGGGGCTAGATGATGATGTGTCCTGTAGACCATGCTAAAGGGTTGGATTTTGTTGTGAAGGCAATAGGGAGCTGTTGGAGAGTTTTAAGTAATGTTATTCTGTGTTCACTGTGGCTGCAGTATGAGTGATGGACTGAAGAAGGCAAGGCCAGAGTTGGAGAAGCAAGAGATGAGAGCCTGGTGTTGAGCAGGAGGTGGGACTAGAGAGGAAAGGACAGATGGGGGAAATTCGGAAGGCAGGTGCAGGAGCACTTGGTGCCCACTGGAGGTTTGGCAGAGGAGGAAGTTCTGACAGTGAGTGGATGGTGCTGCCACACCCTGAGGTCTGGGATGCAGGAGGAAGTTCAGTTTGGTGGGAAGATGATGAGTTCACTCAGGGAATATATTGACTGTGAGGTGTTTGTAGGATATCCAGGTAGAGATGTATGGAGGGCTCTTGGGTATTAAGTCTGGAGCTCAGGAAGGTATGGGCCAGACATTCGTGTACATGGGAAAAGATTACTTGAATGTTGTAGTAGTAGGTTGATTTCATCTCCCAAGTATCTTTCAAAGCAACTGCTATTTCCACCTCCTCTGCCATCACATTGATTCAAGCTGCTATCTTCTAACTGGTCTGCCTACTTCCATACCAGTCCATTCTAACACAGCTGGTGGAGTGATCTTTTAAAAATTGAGATGGAAATTTGTCATTTCCCTGCTTAAAGCCCTTCATCACTGACTTCCCATTGCCCTTAGAATAGATCCAAACTCCTTACCATGGCTACAAGGCTCTGCGTGACCTGGCCCCACACTGCCTACCTGCCTCGCCATGCACCTTTGAGCCACTCTCCTCCCTCACTGACATTGTAGCTGCGTGGCTTCTTCAAGGCCACTGACTTCTCTTTCGTCTTGTTGTGCACCTAGTTCTTTCTCTTCTCCCGACCTTTGCTCACGTTGCTCCCCTCCCTCTACCCTTCAGGTTTTACCTCAAATGTTTTTCCAAGGAGCCTTCCCTGACCTCCTGAGCTCTATTAGCGCCATCCTGCATTTTTCTTTTCTAGCACTTCTTTTAACACAATTTGTTATTAGTTGCTTGTGTGTTTGTTTGGTATCTATCCATACAAGCTCTGTGAGAGCAAAATCCATCCTGTGTTTGTTTACCATTGTACCTCCAGTGCCAGACAGTCCTGAGCACATAGCACCACTCCCTGATTACTGGTCAGATTTGTTGAATGAATGAGAATCATAATCTTCGTTTTCTATCTTGAAAAACTTGCAATTTTTAGTCACAGATTAAATAGGACTATGATTCAAGCTTTACAACTAATGTAGCTGATTTCATCTACTTTTGACGGTCTATTACATTTTTAACTGTTACTAACTACTCTGCCTCTGGGAGGTTGGGACATTAAAATTGCAAATCAAATCGTAGGGGTATTTTTCCTCCCTGTTGCCTGCATTCATTACGGTGACCAGGTAGCGTGGCCTGGCCGACTCATTGTCAGCCTGACAGTGGTATGGCTGCTGTGTTTTGAAAACGGAAAAAACTGGTACTGGTTCCCTTGAATTGGGTGGAGTTTGATAGCCGCCTTCCCTTCAGCCCTAATGTGGGAAGTATCCCAATCCGTGCTGTTTGCATTGCAGCTGTGGGAAAGTCCACCTTTGTGAAGTTACTCATGAAAACTTACCCAGAGTGGCACGTAGCTACTGAACCTGTAGCAACATGGCAGAATGTCCAGGCTGCTGACACACGAACAGTAAGTTTTCAGTTGTGTGGGTCATTGGCAGGTGTGGGTGAGTAAACCAACTGCAGTAACCTAACTTGCTCTGGGTAGGTGAAGCAGCCCAGTTTGCGTCTCCCTTTTAAAGTACCTTCATTCCAGAAAGCAGACCACATACACCAAAGAGGATAAGACTTGTTTGAGTGTGTTTAGTTTTGATTCTTGTGGTTTTTACATGTCTACGAGAGTGACTGCCCCTGTTCTGTGTGGCTTCCAAAGCATGTCCAGCCATTCCAGCTTTGAAGATTAATTTTGTCATTCCTGCCCTTAAGTGTGCTACTGAAACTGACCATCAGGATTAAGTTAATGATAACAATTTTAACTTACTTATGAAGTCTTAGAATTGGAAAGGACCTTAGAGAGCAGCTAGTTACGCTTTCAGTCAATGCAGATATAATAACTACCATTTGTAAAGCACATACCGTGCATCAGGCACTGTGCTGTGCCAAGCACTGCACATTTCATTTATGCCTCGTGGCCCAGGCCCTCGTGTCAGGCCTGCTGCTTTGGGAAAGGCGCTAGGGTTGGTTGCAACACCAGCCACAGCAGTCAGTGTGAGGCGGGAAGGACCAGTCTGGACATGTGCCTGAGCGGTAGGTAGCTGAGGGAGTGGCCCCACCGTGCCTCCTGCAGCCAGCGGGAGTGTTCACTGAGCGGCTCATGTGGGGTTTTTAACAACCTGAACTGTTAGAAAGTTCTTATGTGAGCCACTTTGTATACCTGTGACTCTGACTGATGGATTCAAGTTCTGTCTCTTAAGTATTTTAACTTTCCCACATGGCAACTCTTCAGAGAGTTGAAGGCAATGATTGATTTACCTGTTCTCCCCTTCCCCCCCCCCCCAAGTCTTCCCTCTTTCAAGCCAAACATCATTTTCCTACAGACTGTTCCTCATTCTGAACTTTGTCTAGGTGATGAGCTCCAGTTTGTTGGTTTTCCTTTTAGAATTTACTAAGACGGGTACTCAGAGCTGAACAGAACATTCTGGATGTAATCTAAATGGCCCACAATATCATATAACTTGTTCTGGGTACCATTTTTCCATTATTCCAACTTAGGATCATGTTACCTTTTTGAGCAGGCACACCATGCTCATTGAGGATATTTGTGTTTTAAATTGTCTTTTTGTATGCAGGGGTTAGTGTGTGTGTGTGTGTGTGTGTGTGTGTGTGTGTGTGTGTGTGTGTGTGTGTGTGTGCGCGCGCGTGTGTTTGTGCAGTTAACTTTTCCATTTAAAGAATAAATTATGTATCTTCTTCTGAGTATGTCACAGGTCACCTTGTGGGGGTTTAAAAATATGTCCACAAATCGTTTGATACTCTTTCCTTCAAGAGATGGATCTTAATTCTCCTCATGAGTGTGGGCTGGACTTAGCAACTTGCTTCTAATGAATAGAATGTAGCAGGAATAACAGAGTGTGACTCCCTAGGGTAGGTTGTAAGAGACATTGTGTCTTCCGCCTTGTTCTCTCTTGATCTCTTTTGGCTCTGGGAATGCCAGCTGCCATGTCATGAAGCATCTCCATCTGAGAAGAGGCCCATGGAGCAAGGAACTGAGTCCTGCCAATAGCTATGTGAGTGAGTCTTCTTGGAAGGGGATCCTTCAGCCCCAGTCAAGTCTTAGATGACTCTGGCCTCAGCCAACATCCTAACTGAACCTCATGAGAAACCCTGAGGCAGAACAACCCAGCTAAGTTGTGTCCCAAATTCCTTGTTCACAGAAAATGAGATAGCGAATGTCTTTTTGTTTAAGCCACTAAATGTTGGCAGAATTTGTTGTGCAGCAATAAATAACTAGGGGAGGGCTGGTTAGCTCAGTTGGTTAGAGTGTGGTGCTGATAACAAGGTTGCTGGTTGGGTCCCACATAGGCCACGGTGAGCTGTGCCCTCCTTAAAAATAAATAAATAAAAATAGATAACTAATACTCCCATAATCCCATTATCCAGAGGTAAAACAGGAGGTATTAACATTTCATCTTTTTAGATTTCTTTCTACAGAGGAGAAAATCAAAACACTTTCATAAACGTATTAAGACACATGTACATTTACTTTTTTTTAAGCAAAAATTATGATTGCCACCTGCATGTCACTTGATATACAAGGTCTTCCTTTCATAGTAATGTCATTTTAATGGTGGCAGTATACTGCATAATATGATATACTATCATTTAGTGATCCAGTCTTTTATTTTGAATACTTAATTTTCAAAATTTTCCTTATTATTAACAATGATGAGTATCCTTGTAGCTACATTTTTTTTCTGTTTAATAGCTAAATTTTGTTCCCCTTTGTATTTTCTTGTCCCAGTAGTATTCTTGTGTAGTTTATCCCAGTGGTTGTGTATTTTGTTGTTATTGTGATTGGTATCTGTTTTCCCATCATCTTTTTCAAACTGGTTATTGCTGTTTTATAGGAAAGCAGTTGATAGTTGTTTTTGTCTTGTGTAACTTAATTCTGGTGTTAATTATTTTTTTCCCTTTATTTGCATACCTCTTTTCTAATTACTAATCATTTGTAAGAATTTTCCAATATCCATACCTCATTTCTATTTTCTTTCATTGGGTAGAAGTTCCAGAACAATATTAAATAATAGCAGTGATGGTCGTTACTATCTTGTTCTGTCTTTAAATGAAACTACCTCTAATGGATCAGTGTTAAGTTCTATGATTATTCATTTCAGTAGACCATGTAGAGGAGAGGAACCTTCTTATTACTAGGACATTAACTGTTTTTATCAGGATCAGATGTTGAATTTTCATCAAAAGCCTTTTTAGCATCTAGTAAGATAATCATGGGGTTTTTCTTTTTTAATCTCTCAGTATTAGTCATAGATTTGATAATGGTACCATCTTCATATTTCTAGAATGAACCTTTTGGTCATGGTGTACTGTTCCATTAATTTGCTAACATGTCTGAAATTTTGCATGTATATTTATAAGTGTGATTGGTATTAGTATTTGTGTGTGTAGTTTTGACAGGTTTTACCATATGGTTATGAATATGAATTGAGAAGTTCTGCATCATTTTTAGCATAGGAATTATCCTTGAAGTTATGATAGAAATCATTTTTAAAGGATAAGGATTCAGTGCTGTTTGGGAGAAATAGTTATTGGATAACTGCCTCTTTCTCAATTTTTATTTTTTTTAACCTTCTTGAGTCAACTTTGATAATTTTTCTTAGATAATTGCCCTTTTATTTTCCAATTTAATAAAGTAAAATTAGTACATGTGTTCTTTTATACCTTTAATTCTTTTGTATCCAGAATTATTGTATCTTTTGTCTGATGTTGCTTATTTGTGTGACTGTTTTGGGAGGGATAGATGATAGTCTATTTGTCCTTATTTAGAAGACCCAAATAGTGGATTTTATTTTTTAATTCTGTGGGGGCTTGCATTATTTTTGCCTTTAAATTTATTCATTTCTCTAGAATGTCTTTCATTTTTAAAGCTCTTTAGTTTGAATGATTAGTTTGTGTAGTTTTTCCTTTGTTTCTGCCTTAATAAAAGCAATTGCAATTGGAAATTTTATTCATGGAATAAGCTTTGGCCCTATGTTCTAGATTTTTGACGTATAAGGTTTTAACTGAGATTTCTAAATAGTTTGTAAGTGTATTTTTTATTCTTTGCCTAGTAATTATTTTTAAAGTATTTTACATTTTCTGAGAAAATTTTATGTGTGCATTATTTTGCTATTTTAATTTTATTTTGTTATGGCTGGACAGTGTGGCTTATAGAATTTCTAATTGGAGTAATTTACTGAGGTTTCTTTCATGGCTTATGTATGATCAATTTTTATGTATAATCAGTTTTGGTAAATGTGCCATGGACTTTTAAGAAGAATATGTATTATCTGTAAGGTATGGAGTTTGATGTGACGTATTTTATAAATCCTAAGATGCCATTAATCGTTGAGACACATATTGAATTTAATAACACTCCTATACAATAATTAAAATGTCTGTTAAGTTTAATTTAATGACCATATTAAGATGTGGACACACTTTCAGATATGTGGAAAAAAGTGATTTAGAATCTTATCCTCCAAGCTCTCATTTTTGGATTCTACTTTTTGTATTAAATTGTGAGATAAATATGTTAAAGCATTGTGCTTTTGTTGTGTTTTTTCCATTTCTCCTTGTACTTTTAATTGATTTTGCTATATATGTATATATTTCAGAGCTTTATTATTTCATGTAAAAAGGTTCACGACTTTGTGGTGTCTTTATTGCTTTATTTCTTAATACTGTTTTGCCACACATGCTTTCTTTTTATTTGCATCTACTTGGTGGATTTTTCTGTCCCTTTGTCTCCAACCAATTTATGTCATCTTGTTTAGGTTTTTCTTGTTTTAAGTATTTATTTTATGAACAGGATTTTTCTTAGAGTTTGCCTTTCCTGGGAATTTTTCTCTTTTATTATGATTATTTTAATTAATCCTGCCACCTTATGTTGTGCTTCCATCTCCTTTTTTTCTTTTTGCTATCTTTGAAGTTTTCTTTCATTTTTCTCCCCTTTATTCATATGGCGAATTTACTATTTTTATTCTACCATAAACATTTACATTTTAAAAATATACATGTTTAAATCTATCAACGTTAGTAGAGTCTCTGTGAAAGAAAAAAAAAAAAACCTCTACTACTTTTTTATTACTTTTTTCTTCTGACTCTGTCTTCCAGGTATATTGAAATTGGCTGAAATTTTAGAGCTCCAGGATGCTTTTACTTTGTGAAATGTCTCTTTTAACAATAGAAATTGGCATTAAAATTTATAACCACATTAACAACGGATAGTTTATATTTAGCTCTGTTCTACTGGTTGATCACTGACCACTTTTTACTCATTACCACATCTTCCCATTTCTTAATTCTTTGTTTTGATTAATGTTTCAGTTGGTTGAAATACATTTTAGAGAAATGTTTTTACAGTAAAGGTATGTGGGTGGTCTAATTTCTGAGGGATTGCTTGTCTAAAAATGTCTTTCTCTTGCTCTGGAATATAATATAAAAGGTAGTTTCTGTTGTAGAGAGGTGTTATATAGTTATGACACTTTTTATACAAATGTATATAAGTAATTCATGTTTTTCCCTTCCCCCTCATTAGGGGTTTGTTTTGTTTTTGTGAATAGATAGATCCAATTGTGGGTACTTGTGTGTGTGTGTGTGTGTGTGTGTGTGTGTGTGTGTGTGTGTGTCCGTCCGTGCACGCTTCATATGTAAATATCTATAAAATCTTTTCTGGTACTCAGTGAATTTCTCTGGTGGAAAGTCTTGCGTCTCAGAAATTTTCTTTATTTTTTTTTCTTTGATTTTAGCTTTTTTTATCTGATCGTTTACCTCTAACTCCTAGTTATGCCATGGTTTTAAACTTTATTTCTGTTCTTAGAGATAAGGAATGTTTCTATTAGGCAGTGATTCTCAGTGATGGTGAAATTTGATGTGAGGGAGACACACACCTTATGAGGAATGACCTTCCTCTGCTCATCTCTTTTTTTTTGTTGGAGGTTGCATTTCACCTCTCTCTATTGGACTCTTGTCACATGAGAAGGAAAGTTGTTTCCTTGGCTAGGTAACTGTGTCTGAGCTATGGGTACTGTGAAGTTGCTGATCATTTTAGGCCGTGTTTACAAAGTTGTTTGAGTTATAATGTAATTAATTGCTGTGAGATGGAGCACAGGTGGCATTATATCTTGATGTGTCTTTCCAGAGTAAAAAAAGAAAGAAAGAAAAAAAAAACCAACCCTACCACTATATTAGATGTATATTGGATCTCCTTCCAACCTGCATGTCTTTTCATTTTTTTCCTAATTTTCTGCTTTTTTTCTGTTAGTTGAAGGAACATTTCTTGAGCTGAAAGTCTATGATAGTCAATAACTAGATTCACCGCAGTGTACAGTCTGCTAGTTACTTATCTTCATTGGGTGTTTTGTTTTGGCAGTTGCATTTTTCTCTAAGAATGTTCTTTTCATATTGCTCCTTTTTTTTTATGACAGCCTGTTCATATCAATGTGGCAATCTCTTGAATCTCATTGAGATTCTTCTGTTTTTTCCTGTTTCTGACAACAGCTGTCTCCTAAGAGGCTGCTTGTCCTGAGCACACAGATTGGTCCTCTCCTTCTGAATTGCTGAATATTTTTATATCCAACGATTATCCCTCGGTTTGTTTATGTGTTTGAAGCGATGTTTGCATTTGTTCTGTAGCTGAGATGGTTCTTTCAGAAATCGTGCAGGCCACTGTGCTGTTTTTTGTTGCAGAACAGTTTCCCTTTGGTAGCCCAAAGCCTGCTGATGGAATAGCCCCCACCCAACCAACCTAGTGCATTTGTCAACACAGCACCGCTGCGCCATTCAGTGGGCTTTCGTGCAGTCTCAGAACTGTTCTGCCTTAAATTCTAGCTCTTTATATCCTTGTCACCATCACCACCCCCTTTTCCTTTTGCATCGTGAGTTCCTTCTGTGAGAAATATTAGAATGAGGAAGTTACAGGAGGTCAGGTTTGAGTCCCCATTCAATATTTACCATGAGACCTTGGACAAGTAAGTTACTTAACCTTTCTGAGTAACTTTCCACCTCAGCAATGTGGGCATAACAGTAGTACCTCAATGAAGCTGTTTTGAAGACTGAGATAACATAGCACAGTGAATATGGAAATAAATCTGAGCAGATCTAGCCCAGGTAGCACCTCATCCACACAGGGTTCAGGTAATGGTGAGGGAGTGAATGCAGATCCAAAGTGCTTTGTGTAGAACTCACTTTTGCACTGAGCCAGTGGTAGAGCTCAGGAAAGAATTCAGGACTCCATCTGAGTGTCCCACACATGCTCCCTGCCTGTACGTACAGAGTAAGTGGATCTTCAGATGCCTTTCATAAAGCCTGTAGAATGGAGGAGGAGGGTTTTGTTTGTTTAACAAATTGTAGCCCTTCTTGTAAGAGATACAAAATTCTGTTTGATTGATTGGATTTTCAAATAATAAGTTGCTTTCTTGTCTCAGTTCAAGTTATAAAGAAATAGCCACAAATGGAAGCTCAAGAGGGAGGCAACATAGTATTACAATGGAAAACTTTGTTTCCAAGTAGAGTTTTAGATGGTTGTTGATTGTTGACTCTGTCTGCACTGGGACTCCACAAACCCATCAATCAGCCATATGCTACTTCTGTATGTGGTTCTTCCTCTGCTCTTCTCTGATATGTAGAAATTGGCATGTCATCTCCCTCTCTCAGACTCTTGTCCAGTAAAGTAGGAACATCTCTTCCTTGATTATGTAGCTTTGACTAAGCTGGGGATGTGGTTATGTCATTTTAGTGGAAGGAAACTTTTGTAATTGCTTCTCTAATTGATTAGTAAACCTGCAGGGGGACAGGGAAAGATAAACACCGTGAAGTAAATATGCCTTCCAGGAACTTTTCCTCTTTTGTAATTTCCCTCTAGGCCTACCCTACCCAAAATCTTGGAAATTTGTTGGATATGATGTACCAGGAGCCAGCACGATGGTCCTACACATTCCAGACATGTTCTTTTATGAGCCGCCTGAAAATACAGCTGGAGCCCTTCCCGGAGAAGCTCTTACAGGCCAAGAAAGGGGTGCAGGTCTTTGAGAGGTCTGTGTTCAGTGACAGGTAAGACCTCAAGCTCTGCACAGGTCACAAGCCCGGTGCTCAGCGCCACGTTTTCTTCTTCCTCAGACCCTGCGCCATTCTGGTCACTGAAAATTTTACTTTAAAAAAAAAGTCTTCTTTTTCAAGATAACACTGTACAGATTTGTTCAGACTTACAATTCCACAGGGTGATCATGTATGTTAAGAAAGGAAATTTTATTTTTCATAATTTTCCACATTGCCACTGATTATGTTTTCCTATTCTTTTCTGGCACCGAGGCAAGCTAGTAGCTAGTTAATATAAACATTACATGCTAAAAGGCACAGAATACATGCTTAAAGCAGTGTATGTCCTAGGAAACCAAATGGATCAGCAATTGGTTATCACCATAAAGAAGAAAGCAGATGGAATTAAAATTTGTGTTTCTAAAATGATATGAGAGTTACAGTCATCCTTTTTTTAATTCTTCAAGGAAGGATTTCTAAGTAGAAATAACAGACCTATAAATTTGGCTCCTGTCTCAGATTTAACCTCTTTTGACCCCTTGTTATGCAACAGGGCTTATTGCTGGCCAGTCTGTAATGGACATCTATTGCCTGTGTCAGGTCAGGGGAAGGGCATCATCCTGACCGCCTGAGGGAGTGAGATGTGGAGTCACTTAATGAAGGCTAGTATCTAGACTGGGGATTCATTCCATCTGCTCCAGAGGAGTTAGTCCATTTAGGCCCCGGAATTCCTGGCTGTACCCCCCAGACAAGGCTGTGACTTAAGCCATTTGGAGACAAAGTGAGGATGCCTTGATGTGGACACTGGTAAGGTTTTTTTTAGTCTGAAGGCTATGAATGACCTGTGTCAGTGTGAAATGGTGGTTTAAGGCATGATGCTCTATCTTAAGCCCCTTTGAGTAACCAAAATGGAAAATGCTGCATTTTCATTGTCCATTCACTTCTGAAGACACTAAGTTGGTTACCCATTTAATTCCAAGTTAGACAAACAAATTCTACTTCCTAGCACTCCAGTAAAGCCTCCTGGAGGGGAAAATAAAGGTACATTTGTAAATGTCATGTGATTTGTTTTAATATTACCTAAAATCATGCAAGATATGTAAAACAAACCCTATGGGCTACATATTCCTTCTCTATGTACCCTGAAAGAGCCTACCTTTTGTAAGAGCTAAATCTGTGAATTATAAATGGTTGGGCTCTATCTAGACTGTGGGGGTTTTCCACCTGTTGGGTATTACTACTTCCTATGTTACTTTCCCCTCTCTTAAGCCATGTCTCCTGAACTAGGAAGATGAATCACATACAACCACTGGAGTTACTTAGAAACATACTCACCACCCATCTTTACATTTCTAGCCCTTTAGTGAGATAGGTATATGAGAGAACCCTCAGAAATCTACCTTGTTTACAAGCTACAAGATCTTAACATTTACTTGTAAAGGAGGAGACGAGAATAGATTTCACTATAGGCAGCTACAGCATTCTAGATGTTTTCTTCAAAGGGGGCAATTTTTGAGACAGAAAGAATAACTAATTACACATTCTAATCTGATGGTAATTTAGAGCCTTTCCACTCTTAAAAATTCACTCATATACATTCACTCAGCACAGATATATTCAGTGCTGCCTGTGTTCGGGCCCCAGGCCGGGGCTGGGGGCTGCAGCAGGAAGCAATACAGACCCAATCCTTGCCTTCACGATGCCCTTAGTTTAACAGGGAACTCTGAGGCTGCACACATGCTCATGTGTTATACATGTTCTAAAGGAGGAATGTGGGTTGTTTGGGAGAGTGGATGACAGGGAGGAAGAAATTTAAATCTTCCCTGTTTGAGTTCAAAGCAACAACAGCATGTGGTTTTGAAGCAGGGACCCTGCCACCTGGGTCCTGAGGTTGGGTCTTCTCAGCAGCGTCTGTGTTCAGACTGCAGTAGTTCCCTCCCCTTGAGGGTCAGCACCACAGCCTTCTACTGTCACTCTTCCATCACCACCAGCTTTGGAGAAATAAAGACATGCTCATCCTCAGAAATGGCGAGTGCCCCTTTTATATGGCTTATTAACAGGTACTTAGTTTCTCTTTATAAGATCTTAATTTCCATGTTACCTGTGAAGAAGCTGAACACATTGTTCAGACATTCAGTTTGAAAAGTCACCTCTTTTCTTTGTTGCCTTTAGCTAGGCTATCGCTAAACCATTCCAGACCAGGAGAATTGACTTCTGGAGCTCCCAAATTGGTTTCTTCATAGCCTCGCAAAGAAGTAGTTATAATAGTGACCATGGCAGCTGTGCCATTCACTCCTTTAAGCACCTTGTAAGTAGTTTATACAGTCTTCACAACAGCTCTGCAAGTTAGCTTCTACTGTTCTCTCTCTCTGCAGTGGGAGAAATGGGCTGAGAGAGTTTGATGATGTGGCCATGGTGACACCGCTAGTGAATTCTGGCGGCAAGGCCAGGCTCAGGAATGTGACTCTGCAACCCATTCTCTTAAACACAACACACAGCCTTGCAGTATATACCTCCCTGAGCCATTCGTACACAAGGATTCTGAATTTCATTTTCTCAGAAGTGGCCAGTTGCTGAACGTTGCCTTAGAAACAAGTTTATTGTTTAGGATGTAAATTGTTTTGTATCAAGATGCCTGAGGTTTGAAAGCAGAATTGACCTTTCTGAAGCGATGGTTTCTGGTTAGCTCTGATATCCTATTTACCAGAATGTTCCTTAAGCTGTGGAAGTAAGCAAAGGGCAAAGCTAGTTGATTTTTAGATTTAGCTTTCTTATATCTTGATGAGAGGCTCAGCAGCAGATGAAGCAAGTAAGCAAGAGCCTGTGCTTTGGAGGAAAGTCTGCTTTCTTGGTAATCCAGCAGTTAGTAGGAAATGCTTTTCCTGCTTCATAGGTGACGCCACTTAAATACGGTTCCTTCTCCACTTCTCAGCCAAACAAAAGGGTGGCTCAGCAGCCTGGAGACCCAGAAGCCCTCAGTCCTTAAATGAAATGTGGTGGGTGGTTTGTACTAGATTGGTTTTTATTTGGAGGCTCACTCCAGTAACAATAAGGAAATTGTGAAAGTTCGAGTGTATGTGCACCATTTGCTGTATGTCCTGGCTGGCTTCCAAGCAGGGAAAATTGCTAGTGACCAATAATAGATGCGCTCTTCCAATGCCCCTTTTCTTCCAGAGGGTTAATCCATCTGGAGAGCTGTGGGCCTCTAATGCTATTTCCCATCTTAGTGTTGAGTAAGGAAGGAGATAGAGGTTAAAAATTCAGATTTCTTAAAGATTGATAAGGAACCCAAAGGGGTAAGTGGTTTGAACAGATGTGGAACAAGTTGGTTATTGATTTTTCTGCTTCTCTCTCTCTTTTGCCTTTCATTCATTTCCCATTCTTCTCCCCTCCCCCCATCCCACTTACATTTCCAACCAGGTACATCTTTGCAAAGAATCTTTTTGAAAATGGCTCCCTCAGTGACATGGAGTGGCATATCTATCAGGACTGGCATTCTTTTCTCCTGCAGGAGTTTGCCAGCCGGGTCCAGTTACATGGCCTCATCTACCTTCAGGCTTCTCCCCAGGTAACGCAGAACCTAAAGCAGCCTTTCCTGGTGAAGGAGGGGGGGCAGGGAGCAGTGAAGCAGATGGCAGGAGGGCCCCTCACATGCCATTTGCATCTGTTTACATTCAGGTGTGTCCTCCCCATAAGGACTGAGATGAAGAGGGACCAGACTAAAGTACACTGTTTGCACAGGATTGATTTTTTTTTTTTAAGAATTTTTGTAACCATCCAGTAATGCAAGAATTATGCCAAGTGCTCAAAATAGGAGTTTACCTAGACTTCTACGGGGGAAGAAAAGTTTGGTCTGTTAAGCAAATTAATAGTAAAAAGGGAAATGTTAGCATATTTTAGGAGAGACCTTAACATCGATGTTTGCCTGCTAGCAATGAATGAATATAGTTTTTATAAAAAGAATTGCTCTGCCTTTATGTATAATTGAAAACATAAAGTCACATATTTAAAAAGTTGCACTTTCATGAATTCTGATAATATTTTCTTCTCAGAGAGGAAAATTAAGTAGCTTTGCTATGTTTAAAAACCGTGAAGCTGCCTTGCTGGTGGGAATGTAAATTGGTTAGGCTCTAAGGAGGCAGTTTGGCATCTATCCTAGCAAGTGCACATACCTTTTGACCTATTAGTTATGCTCCTTGGAATTTACTCCATAAATATGCTCCCACACAGGCAAGAAGGCTCATGTGCAAAGCAGCATTGTTTATAAGAGCAGATTATTGGAAACAATCCAAGTGATCATCAGTAGGGACCAGTTGAATATATTATGTTCTATCCATGCCCTGGAAAACTCTAAAGTCATGACAAAGAATGAGCAATACTGTACTGACATGTGACAGTCTCCAAGACATATTGTTAAGTGAACAAAAGCAAGGACAGAGTATATGGTAGGATACTCTTTATATGTATTTTTTTAAAGGTGGGGGTAAGAATGTAAAATATTTCTGAAAATATACAAAAAGTTAATAACATTGGTTGGTTGTCAGTGGGGTGGAGAACTGGGGAGTCAGAAGTCCGGGGTGTAAAGCTGTGGGATTAGGGAGGTGGGGAATAATGGGAAATGTCTTGAAGCCATCAGTTGTAGGGTGGGGATGTAGGGACAGAAAGACAGAAAGAAGGAAAGAAAAAGAGGCAGGTTCAGAGTAAAGGAAAGTAGGAATGAAAAAGATGAAAGTAGGGGAAAGTGGTAAATGGATAGAAAGAGACTAGGTCAGATATTAAAAATGTTAGATGAATACATGCAACAAATATTTACTGACCACCTACTCTGCCGGGCCCAGGCCTGAACAGCATGGACTCTGGCCTGCTTCCTGAGTCTCCCCCAGTCACTGCTCTCAGGACACCCTGTGCACACCTTTCTCTGTCTTCCAATACAGCGAAAATGGCACTGGTGGTCATGTTTGCCCAGGGCCTAGCACGGCGCCTGGCTCTCAGAGTGGTGCTCAGTGAGCTGGTTCCAGAGATAAAGGGGGAGCCCCTCCTCTGTCCAGGAAACACCACCCGGACTGCTGGAGCCCATCTGCTCCCTCCCTTATCTGACTGCTGCAGTTAAGATCCAGACCTCACAGTGTAGAGCTTGAGTCACTGTTTTGCATATTTTGTCTTACATATTACTTAACTACATTATAGAATCCCTGAGATAAAAACCTCATTTAAGTTTGGGACACTTACTGAGGGGAGGGGAGAGACCAGAAGGGATCAGTGCTAAAAGTATTATTAACATATTAGGTCAGTCTCTGTTACTCAATTTGAAAAGTTGGACATAAGATCATAAATGAAATTTGTTTATATGATTTTGTCTTCTTAGAGGAAAAAATAGGACAAGAGGGAAACACAAAGATCTGCATCTTTGGGAATATTTTGCACTACATTTAGGGATAAAGTTTCTTAAGTATTTGAAAGAAGGAAGTCCTAAGTCAGTTGGTTAATCCACCTGTTCTTCCAGGACAGATGATATTGCCAGGCAGAGAGAGGAAGGAAGGCGAGTCAGGTGAAACAAACATTTGGAGCAAAGGTTTGGGCGTGTGAAAGAGCTTGGTCTGCCCTGTAGGCTGGAGGTCAAAGCAGTGAGTCCAGGGGAGGAGCTAAGGAAGCTGAGATAGAGGTAGGAGGGGTGGCCAGACTGCGGGCATGGCCTTGTATGACAGGTAAAGGAGAAGGTGACATTCTCTGAGCCATGTGCTTCAAACTTTTCTGTCAGGTGAAGGCAGAGTAGAATTGCGACACCCGGGGAGGAGGGGCGGGAAGGAGCACTAGTCCCAAGCCTCGCTTTTTTTTACTTGTTTATATTTGAACCATGTAGATTTTGCATTCTGCTGCAGTGAGTGTTTGCTATGATGTGGAAGAGATGTTTCAAATTACTTACCCTTTTGTAAATATGATGCTACTTATACTTCCTTGAACCTGGGGGTGATGGCTGTAGGCAATAAGGAGCCTGTGGAGTATTTTAAGCAGTGAAAGTAAGGCCATTGTATTGGAGTCCTATGGAAGGGTGGACTGAGTGGGCAGACTGGGAGGAAAAAAACCAGCTTTTACCAGGAGCTTGACCTGCCTTGCCTTGGGGAATCCCCACAGCGACCTGGGGGTAAGTGGAGCATGAGGAAACGGAAGCCCACAAAGATCGCACCACCACCAGTGCATGGTGGAGACAGGAATCTAATCCTGGACTTTCTGATGTGAAGGCTTGGCCTTTTTCCATAACATTGGATTGCGAGTAACGTGGTTTGTGTTCCGCAAGACAAGCAAACATTTCTAATACATTTTAACGTGGTAAACGAGCAGTGTCTTGCAATACAAGTAGTTTGTTTCCAGAACAAATTATGCTTGCAAACCAAGGTATTATTGTACTTCACTGCCTCCAGGAGGCAGAGAGCCAGGAGGCCCTTGCTATAGGCCAGGTGAGAGGTGATGAGTACCTGACGGGGCAGAGGTGAGAGAGAGGCAGGGAAAGAATGAACAGGAGAGAGATTAAAGAGCATTCAGTGACTTCCTAGATGTGGCTGGGAGGAAGGAAAAGAAGGGTCATTCCAGGTTCCCAGGTGGGTTTAATGTTTGCCATTAACCTGTGATGGAAGAAGAAAACAAGACTTCAGAAGCAATGTGGTGGTGTATAGTGCCCAGGACAGACATCAGGAGCCGGGTCTGAGAGCCCCCCTCAAGACTGCATTGTGACAGCCAAGAAAGCAATGAGCTCAGTGGGGTCAGGGGATTGTCTTTCAGGTTTGTTTGAAGAGACTGCACCAGAGGGCCAGGGAGGAAGAGAAGGGAATTGAGCTGACTTATCTGGAGCAGCTTCATGGTCAACACGAAGCCTGGCTTGTTCACAAGACCACCAAGTAAGTGGAGAAGAGAGCAGCAGCACACAGGCCGGCCTCCCCACCGCCAGACCTTAACACAGAAAGTTCAACATGCAGCCCCATGAGAAGGTTCAGAATGTACTGGAAGTGGTTGGAAATGTCAAGCATTATCCAACTGAGAAATTTAATATTGGGTGTAATCTATATTCCAAGAGACTTTTTATTAGGTTCCATTTCTCCAGCTTTTTTGTTTTCTTAAAGTTCCACTTGGTTGAACACGGTGGTTGATGATGATGATGATGATGATACAGTTGGCTCAGGGAGAAGGGCCGAAAAGTTTTAGAGAAATTGTCATTCCTAGTTTGGGCCTTTCCTCCCTGAGGTGTGGTCTGCATCCACTTAAAATGTTTGGGGCTCTCGCCTTCAGGATTAGCCTCAAGTCTAAAGAGAAAGGTCAGCCTTCCTCCTTCCCACTAACCTTATCGAATTCTTTTTTAAACCTGCTGTAAAACACCATTTCATTGAGAAGCTCTATGACTTTAGAACTGTTCTCGGAATTGTTAAGACTGTGAGAATGTGCAGCTTGGCTCAGCTTGTCTTTCTTCTGCTCCCTAAATGTTTGTGTTTTTTATAGGCTCCACTTTGAGGCTCTGCTGGACTTGCCCGTGCTGGTGTTGGATGTCAGTGATGATTTTTCTGAAGAAGTAACCAAACAAGAGGAACTCATCAAAAAGGTGGGGACGACCTGAACTCCGCTTTCTGATGGTTTTCCTTTATTGCACTTTATCTTCACTTCAGACTTCAATATAACGGGTCTCATGCTTCATATTGCATTTTACATTCCAAAGGCTGTAGGGCCTTGTACACGTCACAAATATAATCCCTATTTTCTAAAGGATTTGGGGTAATAATGGTTAAATAATTGACTTATAACGTGCTCCTCAGCTAACTTCCTCCTCTCAGGTACTCTAGAACCAGGGAAATGAGACCTGTGGAAGCTCTTCCCAGCTCTGCCATTTGATAGCATGTGGCCCAGGGCAGGTCCCATTTCCTCGCCATACCTATTTTCCCTTCCTCACAAAAAACTCATGGGCTTGGCTACCTGTGCATTGTGGGTGGACTATTGTAGAGTCTGCTGAAAATATGAAATTTAATTTTGGGGTTTTCTCTTTCCCACAGGTAAACATCTTTATAAAGAGCCTGTAAGCATCAGGGTGTGTGGCTGTGGTCCGGGCTCCCTGACTTTTTGAAGCTACAAAAACCCTGAGTCGCCCACCTTTCCACCCCCATTCCCACCTCCTTTTACTCCTAGAGTACTCTGACTGCGTGATTTCTGTTACATTTAGGCTTCGCCATGGTCTTCTTTTATATCTCACAGATTTCTAAAATAAAGTATAAGTTTTGCTTATTTTGCTAATCTCGTTGCTCATATATTTCAGTGTGTAACTGCTGGTGCCTGCTCGGAACGCCCCTCTGAATGAGCCATTTTCACCTGAGAAAAGTCTTAGCTTTCTTCCTCGTGTAACCTTTCCCAACCAGATGTCCCTGTGTACTCACTTGTTCCTTCTGACATGCCAGGGCCACAGTTGCTCCCAGGACCTTAACCAGGCCCTGCTATGCGCATGAGAAAGTAAAGGCTCAGGAGTGGGTGGGTGCTCAAATGTGAGCCCCCAGAGCTAGGACATGGACCCCGAACTCCAGGCAGCTCCTTGATTTCTTCCCATCCAGCATTCTTGGTGTGGAGGATGGGGTGGGGATTTAGACCTTTGTCCTAGAGCTGAAGAACCTGGACAAAAGAAAGAAAGAAAGGGAGGGAGGGAGGGAATGAACAAATCAGGAGCCCAGAAATTCAGCATTTCACATGTAGGGTTTGATCATCCTGGCACTGTGGTCTGCTCCAAACACCTTATCCAAGGAGTTTCAGGTAACCTTGATGGAGTGAATCTGTCTACACTGGAAAGAAAGAAATTTTTGTGCTGCACTTCAAGCTTCAAGGACAGTTTATTGTTAAGAGAGAAAAATACATGGCTGTGTAAAATCAAAGTGCTCCATTTCAAGAAGCCTGCAGGTCCATGAGTCACTGGGGGCTGAATTCCTGCACGGAGCCCTGGACTGTTGTGCAGGCACACGGGAGAACGAAGGGGCTTGGGACCCAGGCTGTCCCAGAAGACAGAAGCCTATGTTTCCCATTATGCCTCAGGAAATGAGTAGGAGATTGGTTTCTAACAAATGTGATATTTTTAAATAACAGCACAGCATTTCTTTATCTTTACTTAAAAATTTTTAAACAGCTTTATTGAGATATAATTCACAGCATACAATGCACCGATGTAAAGTGTACAATTCAGTGGTTTTTAGTATAGTCATAGGGTTGTGCAGCCATCACCACAATCAGTTCCAAAATGTTTTCATCACCCCAAGAAATGCCATGCCAATTAGTCAGTCTCCATCTTCCACTCCCCACAAAAAATCCCCACTCACCCCCATCCTACCCTAGGCAACCACCAGTCTACTTTCTGTCTTTATAGATTTGCCTATTCCAGACATTGCATATAAATGGAATCACATAATATGTGGTTTTTTGTGACTGGCTTCTTTCACTTTCAAGGTTTTCAAGGTTCATCCATGTTGTAATATGTATTAGAAATTCATTTCTTTTTATGGAAAATTATTTTATGGATGTACCACATGTTGTTTATCCATTCATCCATTGATAGATGAACAAATTGCCCTTTTTGGCTAGTATGAATAATCTATGAAAATTCATATATACAAGTTTTTGTGTAGATGTATGTTTTAATTTCTCTTGAGTGTATGTGGAGGAATGGAATTACTGGGTCAAGTGGTAACTCCATGTTTAACTTTTTGAGGAACTGCTAAACTTTTCCAAAGTTTCTGCACCATTTTACAGTCCCTCCAGCAATGTATGAGGATTCCAGTTTCTCCACATCCTGGTAACTCTTGCTGTTGGTCATTTCAATTATAGCCATCCTAGTGGATGTAAAGTTGTGTCTCACTGTGGTTTTGATTTACACTCCCCTGATGGCTGTGATAGAGAGTGTCTTTTCATGTGCTTATTGGTCATTTGTATATCTTCTTTGGGAAAAAAATGTCTACTTAAATCCTTTATTAATTTTTCAACTGTTTTTTTGTTGAAGTTGTAAGAGTATTTGATATATTCTGGATATAAGTCCTTATCAGATGCATGACTTACAAATATGTTCTCCCAACCTGTGGGTTGCATTTTCATCTTGCTAGTGTCCTCTGAAACACAAAAGTTTTTCATTTTGATGAAGTCAAATTTATTTTGTCACTTGTCATTTTTGGCATTATATCGAAGGAAGTCTTGGATAACCCAAGGTCACAAACATCTACATTTTCTTGTATGAGTTGTGTCATTTTAGCTCTTATGTTATATCTGTGATCCATTTTGAGTTAACTTTTGTCTATGTTGTAAGGAACAACTTCATTATTTTGCATGTGCATATCCAGTAGTTCCAACACCATCATAGAAAAGATTAATCTTTTCTCCCATTGAATTGTCTCTTGGTACCACATCGAAAACCTGTCCCACTTGTTCTTGTATGAGTTTGCTGCTTCGTGCTTTGGACAAGACCAGGGATGAACATAGGGTGTTAGGTGCTTTGGAAACTCAGTAGTTTCGGTCCTTTAGCTTTGAGGGGCCCAAATGATTGATTCCCTCCCATTTAATTCATTTCCAGGAACCACTACTGTAGAAATCCCCTATAAACCCAGAGTAAGAGCACTAGGCCCCTACCCTTCACTCACGTATTCAGTCATCAACAAATATTTACGAGTAGCTGCCATATGCTAGAGACCAAGGAGAGAACAGTGAACACACAGAAGGCTGACCTTGTCCTCACCTTGCAGAACTTGTCATCTAATGGAGAAGGTGACAGACACCGAACAAGTAGTTGCGGGTGTGGTAAGCGTTTCAAAAGAAGTGTACTGTTGACTGGTCTTAAAAAAAATAAAATAAGTGTACTGTGGGGGCCTATCCAGAAGGAGCCACGTGACCTGGGTCAGCCCCTCTACGAAAGTGACAACTCTCCTGAAGAATGAATGGGGTAGTGTTCAGGCAGAGAAAAAAGTCACATGCCAAGGCTTTCATGTGCAAATAAGATATTGGGCCCAGATTATCAAAATCAGATGAGCTTAGTGAGTTTATAATTTAAGAATACGTTCCTCTCCACGTTTTTTTTTTTTTAATTTTATTGGGGAACAATGTGCTTTTCTGGAATCCATCAGCTCCAAGTCAAGGTAGTTGTCTTCAATCTAGTTGTGGAGAGTGCACCTCAGTGGACCATGTGAGAATTGAACCAGCAACTTTGGTGTTATGAGCACTAGCACCCTGCGCTCTAACCACCTGAGCCAACCAGCCATCCCTCCTTTACATTCTTTACTTAGTCTTAAAGCCTGATAAGCTACAAATTCAGTGTTTTTCTCCATTTGTGAACATTGCCATTTGTGAGAATGTAAATGTTCTTTCTCTGAGATTGTCAAAGCCCTAAAAGTCCACCTGGGTGAAATAATTTGCCATTTTCCACCTGAGATGGTCTGGAGAGAGAGTAAATATTTTAGTGAGGAGCTGTAGTTTTGGGACCTAAGTGTCAGGGGAAAAATAGGTCTGGGTGGACTGTTGAAATATGGTGATAAGAACTGC